TGCTTTATGTTATAATCTCAATTAAATATTCAATAAAGTTAGAGGCATGGTCTCACCATTAATATTAAAAAAAAAAATAAAATAAAATAAATAAAAAATTTTATATATATTAATAAAAAAATAAATAAATATAATAATTTAAAATTATTCTATTAAATTTAATATATATGCTAAATATGGATTATGCATTAATTGAAATATACTGATTTAAAACAGTATTATAGCACTTCTTTATATATGCAGCAAAATCAAAATTATTAAATATGAATAATTAAATGGAATTGACTATTGAACAAGAGTTTATATAATTAATTATCTAATAGTCGTATTGTTGACTAATTTCAAAAAATTAACATCAACTAATTTTGTAGTACTACAATATGAAAAAAGAATATTTACAACACTTTGAGCATAGGAATCTATCATTTTATCAACAATAAATAAGATTTTTTTATTTTTAAATAATGGTTTAAGCACTGCAATAGCTGTTTTATAAACTTCTGATAAGTAATTTTGACGTAAATTATTTGCAGAAGATACTGTCTAGAGATGGGTCTGGCTATGGTTATAACCATTTAGCCACAGTTATTAACTATAACTAATACTAACTGGTTAGAGCAGCTTAGCTGACTGGTTGACTGATACTTGAAAAATAAACAGATTAATGCAGATCAGCCTAATAAGATAAAGATTGATACTAATCATCCTAATAAGAAAAGATTAACACAAATCAGCCTAATAAAATGGAAGACCCTGAAAATATTATATTTTTTTATTTTATTAGTCATAACCGGTTGATCACAGTTAGTTATAAATCATAATAACTGATAATAACCAACTAATGATCACCATGACTAACCAAACTCATCTCTAACTGCACCACCCTCATGAACATTTTCTTTAATCCAATCACAAAGTTTGTCAACTTTTTCAAAAGGGATATTTGCTTTGATAAAAGTATTTACAAGTGAGGTTACAACATTCTTTCTTAACTTTAAAGCTTGTAAGACTGTTTGAGAGTTTGATGCTATGTCTGAGTTGTTTGCTTTGCTGCAGTTTTATTTTTTTGATGGTTGTTTGATTTAATATGTGAAACTATTATTGACCAAATATTATAGTCAACACTAAAGTGACAGAATTAATACATTAGTTTATCATTGTTTTTTACAAAATTCCCTTTGAATTCTAATACACAACTATCTAATGCAATTCATTTTGGAGGCATGATAATATTTTATGTCTCAAAAAAAATTTATATCTTTTATAAATTATGTATAATTTAATAAACTATTATGCTTCACTAAACAAAAATATTAATTTATTATACTTTATTAATCAAATACTATTAAAGTTACTGAAAAAATTAAAATTTTGCACACTTCGCTAAATAAAAATACTAATTTAAGAATCAGCCCCTTTTTCCAGGACCACTACATGCAATATTACTCAGATAACAGCTTTTAAGAATAATGTTCACACAACAACGGGGGAAGGCCCTTGAGGCTAAGAAAAGAAAGAGAGAAAGATTAAGTTATGGTGCAAGGCAAGATAAAATGAGAAAAACTCATAACAATAAATCGATAGCTGGCGAAAATGCAAACAACAAATGCGAAAAAAAAAGTCACAGTTAGTAAAAGAAAATTTACAACTAGAAAAACAATACTCAGGTAATACAGAGGAACCTAAAAGCAACTTGCATGAGAAAATAAAAAAAGAAATAAGGTCAGAGACAGCAATATTAGACAACTCAAAGAAATGAGAATGTGCCAAAAGTTTGAATAATTCATCAGATACTAATATTGAAAGGCCTGGTGAAAATTTCAAGATGTAATATGAGGAAGAGTTACATGATCTAGATCAAAATAAATCAGAAGCTGAATATATAACAGACAAAGAGAAAAAAGTATAAGTATCAAGTAAGAAAGACAATTCAAATCAAGAAACAAACTCAGAGGAGACTACATATCCTAAAACCTAAAAATGGTCAAACCTTTTCGCAAAATTAAGAAGCAGACGAGCAACTTTTTCTAATCATATGCCATGGAGAAGGACTCTACCAAAAATAACAATACTGTTATCTTTGATATACAGAACCTAGAAAACATTACAATTAATGAAATAAGCTTTACAATGTATGAAAAGATTAGTAATGACAAAATAGCTGCTAAACCCCATTATACCAAAGGCAAAAGAGCCCATCTTGAGATAATTTTTGATAATGAAGAAAGACAGAAGTTTTATACTACAGAGGAGATAATGTTACTCAAGCAAATGTTATTAGGATACATTTCTGTTAATTTAAGAAGGACATTCCTAACTGTTAAATTGAGAAATGTCTCAATAGGCAAAAAAGAGGTAATTTCAAACTACATTAGAAAGGCTTTGATCATTTTGGAACAATTGGATTGATAAAACCCCTATTATACGAGAATATACCAATCTGCATAAACCAATGGATTGTAGTGTTTAAAACAACTAATAACCCAGAAATTGAGCAAAAGATCTCAAGACATAACTGTGTATGGGGGCAAAAAGTTTTAATAGAGTGGAGAACTGCATCCAAAGTCTGTTTTTACTGTTATTAGTTGGGTCACGTAAAGAAAGAATATACACAACTTTGAGTAGCAACTAAAATTGTGGCAACTGAAATTAAACTTCACTATAAAAGCATAAAAGAGAATAAACAAAGGACAAGAATTGACATTTCTGATATTATACCATTAAGCAGTGGTAATTTTTATGCTGAAGCAAATAATAACATTATGCTAAAAGATAACACTAATGAAAATGAATCATCTGATATATATATAAATGAAGATGAGAATTTAGCTGATATAATAGAAAGGGAAAATAAGACTAATCTTGAAGATATATTTAGTCAGAAGAATGGTGAAAAGACTGATTCTATGGTTCTGACGACTTGCACAAATGATGGATATAAAAACATTCAAACGAAAATAGAGATGGAGAAAGCACAAATAGTAAATACTTAGCCCCACAGATGTAATTATGCTTGACTCAAATGAGAATAATGAAAAGTTCACAACAGTCTCATATAAAAAGCACAAGTTTAAAGGTAATAATACTCAATACAACGGAACACTCCATATGAAAAAGACAAAAAAAAAGGAAAAATATATCCCTATACAAACTTATAATTATGACAAGATACAATAATATAAAAATTGCCACCCTTAATGTAAAGGGCCTAAAAAATAAAGATAAATATTAGAAGATATTGATGCTACTTAAAACTTATAAGTTGAACTTAATCATGTTACAAGAAATGAATTTAGATAATATATGTATGTATGAATTCATTAAGCAACAGTGGAATTATAATTCAATATAGACTCTAAAAGCCGCAATTCTGACAGGAAATAAAGAAATTTTATTTAAGAATATACAAGAATTACACAATAGAAGGATTATTCAAACACAATTTACATTCAAAAAACAATAATTCCAGGCTGTGAATATATACGCACTTCAACAATAGAAGAGAGACAAAAGTTTTTTAAGTACATAGAATTTCGCAATAAATAATAGTATGATAAATATTGTTGCAGATGACTTTAATACCAATCTGAACTCTGGCAGTAACAGAATAAGTCAAGCTTACCTACAAAATGATCCCATCAAAGAGAAGCCTGAGTCACCAATGGAGGGTATAGTTGATAAAGCAATTGTGTCTAAACAGAGACCTTTACTCACTTTTTACCAAAAAACAAGAGGTAATAATACCATGGTTACAAGGCTTGATTATAAATTCAATGAAGAACAATATATACAATGTTGCAGTAAAACACTTATCAGATTCAAAAACTCTAATTATTTGTTAGTTGAAAGCGAACTTTCTTTTGGGAAAAATACAGATAAAGCAGCCTACTGGTGACTTGATGTTAAGGCTCTAAAAAATGATCAAACACATAATGAGATTGTAAGAAAATTAGACGTTATACAAAGTTAGAAAAATTGGGAATTGCATAAAAACAAAATACAATTGATTCTAAGAACAACTGAGCTTCTTAAAGCCCCAAAGAGCAAAATTAATATGCTTAATAAAAGATTACCAGCTTAGAAAATAGAATAGCAGAGGATCAGAATCTACTAGATCTTCAGTTGGTGGTAGAGAAATTAAAAGAGAAGCTTCAGAAGAAGATCACTGAATTAGAAATAGGTGGCATATCTGTGCATAAGCTAAATAGATCAAAAGTAGTGAAAGGTCTATCAGGTATTTTTTCAGTTGATACAAAACTCATCATGTTTTTTTAGCTATAAATAAAATTAGAGCCCCAAATCAGCCGGAAATAACAGATCTAAAAGAAATCTAATATCATGTCAAAGAACAGTATGAAAAATTATACCATTCGGAAACAATAGATAACAAAGAAATTAGGAAACTATTAGAAGGACTCCTAAAAGTTATAAAAGTAGATAATTATGAACTAACAAAAACTATATCAAAGGAAGAAATCACACAAGTAATCAGAAATTCACTGTGAAATAAAACTTCAGGTTCTGACAGAATCACATATGAATTCTATAAGGAAATGGAAGAAGAATATAGTATGCCCTAGTAAAAATATTTAATGATGTACTTAGCTCAAGGGAAATACCAAATTCTTAGAGCAAAAATATAATAACATTAATTCCTAAAAAAGCCATAGCATTAAGTGAGGTAGGTAATTGGTGACCAATCTCTCTGACAAACTGCGACATGAAGATATTTATGAAAATATTAGCAGATATACTCAACAAAATATACAACAAAGGATGATCTATCATTGATGCAATGATGAATATCATTACAATAATAAAACATCAAGCCAAACAAAAAAGCTAATACTTCTGGTTGCTTTTCTAAATCAAAAAAAAGCATTCAATATGATTAGTCATAAATATTTGCAAAAAGTTCTGAAGGAGATAAACTTTAATTTGATATTTGTGCATATAGTTAAAATATTATTTGCACAACAAAAAGCTGAATCACAGATGCAGGTCTAATTACAGAACCTCTTAGGTTGCAAAGAGGAGTGCGGTAGGGGGATCCTCTCTATATAATTGCGTTTGAGCTATTTTTGAAAGCTTTAAACCACAGACTCCAAGGAATTCCTATACAGTAGCAAAGTTTCAAAATAACCACTTATGCAGATGATTTAACAACAGATTACATTTAGTACAGAATGAAAAGACTTTTTGAAGCTAGCACACAAATATGAATTAGCTTCAAATGCCAGAATTAACAAAACTAAGTCAGTCATTATACCATTGACACAAGATGCGAGAAGAGTAGAATTGGAGAAGATAACAAATTTTCCCATTATACAAGAAAATGAATTAATTAAAGTCTTGGGTTACAAGTTGGATTATGAAGGAAACTTAGAAAAACGTGGTCTAATACAATAAAGGGTATTAAGGAACTAATAGATGAATATCAAATTAGAACCTGTTATTTAAGAGCAGAATAATTATTACAAAGTCACTGTTTATCTCCTGTATATGATATACTGTATACCTTTTGGGCCCAAATAGAAAACAACTGTCAAAGATCAATGATCTAATAATAAAATGGATTAAAAAGAAAGCAAAAATGTTGTCATGATATTTGATCTTTCAACAAAGTCCAAAATATGCGGTTTGGCTGCTCCAAACTTGAATGATATGCTTGATACAAGACTGTTATTTGTATAGCTGAAGTTACTTACAAGTCAAGTATATTGGGTGAAAGTGGAAAAGAAAAGATAGAATCTACCCTAGGTAGTAAAAAACGAATTACGCCAAGAGTTGCCCTTAATAGATACTCTATTAAAAGCAAAGCTTGGTCTGATAGATGGAAGCAGTATCTGAACGCATGAAAAAGGGTGAAAGGTACGGTTCTACCACAAAATCCTGATATCCAAAATCTTGACAAGCCATAATACTTACATCGTGCAATATGACAATTAAAATTTAAAGTCTGACAATGATTGTTAATGTGATTACTAATATTTAAATAGTTATAGAACAGTTTTATTTTATTAGTTATTATTTTATCTTAGTATTATTTTATTATTTTGATATTTGTATCTTATTAGTTATTAGTTATTATTATATTTATC